GCTGGTGGTCATGCCACCCAGAGAGGCAAAGGAAGATTGGGGCAGGAAGAGGCCCCAAGGGCTCCTAGGGACTGCACTGAGGAGCTGGGTTGGTCTGGATGCAACAGGAAGGGGAAAGGTCAGCCCCCCAGTGTCCAGGAAAAAGGCTGGCAGGTTGTGCAGCCCAGGGAAGCAGAGGGAGGTAAGGGCGAGACCAGGACCCGAGGGCTCCCGGGGACCTTGAGAAGGAACTGGGTCTGTCTGGATGCAAGGGATCAGGAAGCAGTGGTGGTCCTGGGCCGAGAGGTCAGCCCAGGCATCCAGGAAAGAGGCTGGTGGGCTGTGCAGTCCAGGGAAGCAGAGGGAGGTGAGGGTGGGGCCAGGCCCAAAGAACTCCTGGGGACCGTGAGAAGGAACTGGGTTGGTCTGGATGCAAAGGTCAGGAAGCAGTGGTGCCCCCCCCCGCCCCGTCCCCCATGTCTGGGGTACCAAGAAAAGGAATGAGACAGGACCCAGGCTAGGAGGAGAGACTGGAGGGGAAGATGGGAGGGTCAATGAGGCTGGGGGAGTCAAGGCGTGGAGGGCACAATCGATTTACCCTGGAGAGAGGTCGGCAGGTCATGCAGGCCCAGGGAAGCAGAGGGAGGTGAGGGTCGGCCTGTACTTCTTTTAAAAAATATTTATTATTTCTATTTTTGTGTGTATGAGTATATTGTCTGCATGTGTGTATGTGCACCCATGTTGTACATGGTGCACAAATGAGTCCAATGCCCAAGGACATCAGAAGAGGGCATTGGAGCCCCTGGAGTTACAGATGGTTGTCAGCCGCCATGTGGGTACTGGGAATCGAACCCAGGTCCTCTGCAAGAGCAGTCAGTGCTTAGCCACTGAGACATCTTTCCAGACCCCATTTTTCTGTATTTCTTACACATTCAGGGAAACAAAGCCACCTTGAAGCCAGCTGCTGGCTGTATACACTGTTCATGATACAGGAACAATAAACAGGTGTTTATGTCCGTACACAAGAACTGGATACAGTTCTTCCTTTCTGGCTTTGTGACCCACAACAGGCCTGGGTGGGCCCTGAGTCCTCGAGCCACTGAGGGCCACTGTGGCCACTGGGAGGAGCGAGCTAGGGGGAGCAGTCAGATCCGATTTTATGCTTCGTTCTCCTGCCGTTTCTGATTCCTCAGTGCAGCCTCCCTGCAAAATGACCACTTGACCTCTCCCAGAAGAGCCATTAACCTTCCCTAGTCTGTCGAGTAAACAGCTTAATTTTCTGATGGCGGCATGACAGAAGAAATTACAAAGCCAATTCCCTCTCTCTGTCCACACAGATGCCAAATGTAAATCACTCCATTTCCAGAAGGGGGACCTGCCTCCCTGTACCCTCAAGGAGGCCACCCCAGCTGACAACAGTGACAGGAGCTCCTCCTGGGCCCTTGGGCTGCCTGGAGAAGCTGCCACCCTCTGGAAACTGCCGAGCTCTTTCTCTGATTTTTAAACACCTGACCCACTGCCCATGCCGCAAGCTGGAGGCCCCACTAATCATGCATCAAACCCCTGGCTATTCCTGAGCCCACTGCGGTATCACCCAGCTGAGAGCAAACCATTCCATTCTTCTGTTTTTTCAGTAATACACTTATTTCTACCATTATTCATAATCTGGGGTAACTCTGAGCAATTACAAAACCACTTAAAAATGTGTAAACACAAATGAGTCGTAATAGGCTTCATTATGGGCCTTTTCTATTGTGGGGTCACCAACTCACACACCCAAGGGCAGGGCCTAGGGCCAGGGAATTAAGCAGGCCAGGAGTGCAGCCTGCCTCTGATAGGTGACAGGAACCACAGGAGGGTGTCAGGGATCACAAGGGGTACTTTTGTGTCAACTTAGTGGTCATAGTGACCAGAAAGGCAGCCCGACATGATTCTGGATGTTTCTGTGAAGGTGACCTCTGGATAAAATCTACATTTAAGTCAGCTAAATCTCAGCAGAGCAGATCACTCTCCACACTGTGGGTGAACCACGTGCCATCCGCTGAGGTTCTTAACAGTAAGCTGACCTCTCCTGAGCAAGGAGATCCTCCAGTACACAGAGCTCGTCGGGCTCAATCACAGCTCTTCCCTGGGCCTCCATCCGCAGGCCCTACCCCACAGAAATCCCTTGGAAAGCCTCCATCATCAGTCTCTCTCTAGTCACATCCTGTAGGTTTTGATTTCTTTGAAGAACTCCAGCCGATACAGCACTCATTTTACTCATATGATAAACACACTAGAAAATTCTAATTCCTAAAAACACAACCAATCTTTTCTTTCTTGAAGCATCTTTTTTATTTTTATAGCAAATATAGCATGAAAAAAAGTCTCTAGTATGAGGAAAACAACGAACAGTATAACCCTAATGACCACTTACTTTGAGGCTTGGCGACAGAGGACTGGGAGTGGAGGGTCTGTGGTAAACTGGAGCTAGAGAAAGTAGCAGTTCTGAACAAGCTGCTATGTGTGGGAACATGGGCTCCACACTGCCAGATCTGCTGGTCCTTCACAATAATTCAGAAACCTGGATTTATGTTTTAAAGTAAAATTTCCTCATTTTAATTTCTTGGTGTATGCACATGGCACACATCTGTGTGCTGGTACATGTGTGAGCGTGAGTGTGCATGCATATGTGTGTACGTGTATATGGAGACTGGAGATTAACCTCTACTGTTATTCCTCAGGAGCCTTGAGTTTTTTTTTGTTGTTTTGTTTTTTGTTTTTAAGACAGCATCTCTCACTGGCTGGGAATTTGTCAAGTAGCCTATTGGGGCTGGCCAGTGAGCCCCTGGGATCCATGTGTCTCTACCTTCCCAGTGCTGGATTACAAGCGTGCACCGCCATGCCTAGCTTTATTTACATGGGTACTAGGAGTCAAACTAAGTCCTGGTACTGACTGAGCTCACTCCTCATCCCTAAATTCTCACAATTTCTACATACAGGTTTGAAAGAAAAAATAATTAAGATCAAGTGAAACAAAGGTGCATGTGGGTGCTGAGCTGGCTTCCTTCTCTGCCCCTTTTTATTTACTCTAGCACCCAAGTCTAGGGGACAATGCTGTCCACATTCCACGTGGGGCTTCCCTTCCCAACTAAGCCTCTCTGAAACACCCCCACGGACAAACGCAGAGGTATGTCTCCTAGGTAATTCTGAATCCAGTCACACTGACAGTAAAGATGAAACCACCCATCACAGCAACAAGGCTGTGAACGTATCCACCTGTAAGGGCTCATTTGTGAGGACATACAAATGCTGATATTTGTGCTGTGTGGCGGGACTACAAATAACTTATTTTCTCTTTAAACTCATTTGTGTTTTCTAAGTTTTCTTCAATGAACATGAGTTATTTTGGTGGTAAGGAAAGATGTTAAGAGGGCTGGGGATATAGCTCTGTGGCACAGCCTTGCCTAGCATGCACAAGGCTCTGTGTTCAGTCCCTAGTACCACAGAGGGGAAAATGCTTTGCTCGGCATGGTGGTGCAGGCCTGTGATTCCAGAGCTCAGGAGGCAGAGGTAGGGGGATCAGAAGTTAGAGGCCAACCTTAGCTATATAGAACATAACCAGTTTGAGGCCAATCTGGGATACACGGGAGCCTGTTTCCAAAGACAAAACAAGATGTGTTGCCTGTGGTGCATGCATGCGTGTGTGTGTACAAAGAGCAAGAGCTCAAGAGTGAGAATGAGAGAGAGAGAGAGAGAGAGAGAGAGAGAGAGAGAGAGAGAGTGTTAAGAAGAACAGCCAAAGTTTTCTTTTTCTTTTTTTTTTCTTTTTTTTTTTTGGTCTTTTTGAGACAGGGTCTCCCTGGAGCCCTAGCTGACCTGGAACTCACTATGTAGACCAGGTTGGCCTCAAACTCACAGAGATCTGCCTGCCTCTGCCTTAATGTGTATGAATGCTTTGCCTGTGTGTAGTTAAGTACACCATGTGCAGTCAGTGCCCAACAAGGCCAAAAGACAGCATCAGAGTCCCTGGAACTGGAGTTACAGACGGAGTCACCATATGCATGTTAGGAACCCAACCTGAACCCAAGCCAGGTCCTGAGAAGCAAGTGTTCATAACCACTGAGCCATCTCTCCAGCCCCATCAGTGTTTTCTTTAAAGAGGGGGTGCTATGATTTGCATCTTGAAAGTCCCCCACATGCCCATCGACTAAAAAACGCTTGGTCCTCAGCTGACGGCAGTTGGGAGAGGGTAGATCCTTAAGGAGACAGAGTCTAGTGAAAAGGAAGTTAGGTCATTGGAGGTGGGCTGTTTGGGGGGATGCTGGGACCCCAGTCCTAACTCTCACTTTGATTCCCAGATTCTAAGAGATGGGCAGGTTTCCTCAGCTACACACTTCCATCATGGCATTCTGTCTCTCCATGGCCCAAGGCAAGGAGACAAGCAGCTGTGGACGGAGACCTCTAAAACTGGGAACCAAGGTACCCCGTCTTCCCTTTAAGTTGTTTTCCTCAGGTATTCATCAGAGCAATGGAAGCTCCCTTGCATGGGTGGGAGGCACATGCTAGAAGCTCAGCCAAAGTGCAGGGAACTAATCACAGCTTATAGAGACTCGCTCAGTATCCAGACAAGGGTATCTTCCTGGACCTCTTCTGAGGCCTATCTGCCACTACACAGGTGTCCCTTGGGACCATTCCTCAACATCTGGTATTGTCCTGTGCTAGCGACCTTTACCCTGCTTACTCTAAACTTGGGAGAGTGAACACTTGGCCTCTGAGATCTCCACAGGGTCTCCACCTGTTCTAATGCTCCCCCACCCCGCCATCTTTCTCCTGGGCCAAGGTCCACACACAATCTTGATCAACCAGCCCTTGAGGTGTCCTGATAGATGCTCAAGGCGAAGAGGGGGGAAATGAAGAGAGACAAGGGAAGGTGGGAAGGCACCTTGTGTTCACCCCATGCCACAGCCTCTGTCCTCAACTTGATTCCACAGCAGAGAGGCAGAGAGTGTCATGCAGAGCGCTCCCCGCTGCCAACTCACCCTTTCCCCAGTGATATGAGCACGGGGTTTTCCAGTTCCATGAGCACCTGGAAGGCTTTGTTCATGTTCTGATAGGAAAAGCCTTCGCCAGCATCTGCAATCACGACGCAGTTTGGATTGGATATGTCAATGTCATTAAATTCGGAGCGGACTCCTGGAGAGGAAGAGAGAAAGAGACTGCCTTCAAGCCCTGGATAATGCAGTCTCTGCCCAACTCTTAACAGGGGCCCCTTCTTTCTGCCTGGTCTGCCCTATCCTTTTTTCTTATTTATTTAATTAATTAACTTTAGCAGGGGCTACTATATTCTGAGTCCCTTAGCTACCATGAGAATTGGGCAAGGAAAGGGTCCACAAGACAGCGGAAAGAACAACAGGTCCTGATGGTTAGAGAACTTGTTAGAAGGACGGACCCAATCCCAGGATCCCTGAACCCAACACCAGCATTAGCCCGGGGGTTCCCTTACATAGCCCCACAGCACAGGCAGGAAACCCACAACTTTCCAACAGAGATGGGCAATCGGCCTGGAGAACACTGGTTCTAAACAGTAGGATGAAATGGGGCTGCTTGCAACCCCAAAGGTTGGCACACAGTGTAGGAGTCATCAATACGTAAGTCCTAAGACAGAGCATTCCCTCTGTCTCCCCCCACCTTTCTTGCCCTTCCCACTTCCATTAATGTACATAAAGTCACAAGGACAGAGCTACTGGCTGTGTGCCTTCGGGTCCTAGAAGAAACTTGCTCTCCTCTATCTTGGTATTAGATGTTGACCTTCTGGATTCAAAAGCAAGGAAGCAAGCAAGCTGGTGAGATGGCTCAGCAGGAAGTCCCTCTGCCACCAATCCTGACCTGAGTTCCACCCCGGGACCCATATAATCCAAGGAAAGAATGAACTCCCACAAGTTATCCTCTGATTTCCACTCACAAGCCATTATATGCATGTGCCCTGACACAAAAATTGTTTTTAAAATATTTTATTTATTATTTTTATTTTATGTGTATTGCCTGCATGTATGTGAGTGAACCCATGTTTTGCAATGCTGCAGAAGTCAGAAGAGGGCTTCAGATTCCCCTGGAACTGGAGTTAAGGACGGTTCATAGCCGCAATATGAGTTCTGGGACTCGAACCAAAAAAAAAAAAAATTGTTTTTAAATTGAAGCAGTAAAAATTGTTTTTAAATTGAAGTAGTCACAATGAGACCACTTCCACTTTCTATCTAGCAGAGAGGAAGGAACAAATAGGGCTGACACCACCAGGCGCTGGTGAGGATCCAGAGAAGAGGCAGTGGCCCTGGAAATTGGCTGGTAGCTTCCTTTTTTTTTGAGACAGGGTCTCCCTATAGCCCCAGTTGGCTTGGAACTCACTATGTAGACCAGGATGGCCTTGAACTCACAGTGATCCACCTGTCTCTGCCTCCCAAGTGCTGGGACTACAGGCGTGCGCCACCACACTTGGCTGCTGGCAACTTCTTATAGAATTGAGCATATGCCTGTGATACGGCCCAGCAATTCTGTTACTGGGTGTTTACCCACAAGAACTACAGTGATGTGCACAGTAGATGTAGCCTGAAACTGGGAAACATCCAGACATCTATCAACCAAATATATAGGCAACTATGGTATGCTTACCAGATGATGAAGGACAAGAATACTGTTAAATGCAGTCATGTGATGAGTCTCCAGGCTGGTGAGAAAAGCCTTACACAAAAGTCCTCATTTGCTGTAAAAGAGTTAACTCAGCAGGCCTGGCTTGCTCGGACCTTATACACTCTGGAGAAAGGTCCTGTCTTCAGGATCCATCCTCTACCAGCTCTGGAGAGAATCTCTGGGCCCCTACAAAATCCTGTCTGATAGGAGGGGCCTACACAGCTGAGGAACTGGGTCACACTAGGTCAGTGTGATCTTCTGGGAAGTGCAGGGGACAGAGATGGAATCACTAAGGTTAGTCACACGGGGACTGTGCATATAACATGGTCAACCTTCCACAAAAGCCCCAGGCACCAAGGTTCCAGTGAGCTGCCATTGTCAACACCTGCGTTGTCGCACATCACTGCTGAAACCACCAAGTACATCCCAGGGAATTCCACTGCAGGGAACGACTGGGATCTCAGGCCTGGTCCTCCTGCCCTTTGCCCCATGCGCCTTCTCCTGTGCTGTGCTGAACTGTGCTCTTTCATTGTGCCTAGCTCTAATTCTGAGTGTAATGCCATGCTGGGCCCAGGGCCCCTTCCAGGGGATTGCTGAGGCCCGTGTGAACTTCAGGGTCTCTGGCACAATTATTTATCATACAATTCTATTGATATGAAATTCTAGAACAGGTACATTTATTTACAATGGAAAATATAAAAAATAATGACTACCACTAAGGTGAGGGGGTAGAGGTGGGAACTGGCTGGAGGGGAAACTTCAGGTTGTGGTAATGCAGATCTTTAGGGGTGTCAGGTTATGTGGGGTCCAAAAGTCAAAAGTCAGCAAAGGTGTTATAGAGGTTTGATCTCCTCACTGCATGTGAATTTTACAACAACAGAGAGAGAAAAAAAAGAGAAAAAACAACAAATACTAAACTGTAGTCAGTGATATGCTGAAGTGTTTAGGGGAGTCACACCAATTCTTATCACTTACTTTGGAATGAATCCAAAGAAATGGCATAGATCCATGGAGGTCTGTAGACATACAACCAAGAAAACACCGTAAACCATCACTGTCAACATCTAGGGATGGGTATAAAAATACTCCAAGTAGTGAAGCATGGTAGTGCCTCTAATCCCAGCACTCGGGAGGCAGAGGCAGGTAGATCTCTGAGTTCAAGGCCAGCCTGGTCTACATAGTGAGTTCCAGGACAGCTGGGGCTACAGGGAGACTCTGTCTCAAAAAGACAAAAA